TCTCCCCCCCCCCCTCTTGTGGTCGCTGGCACACGTCTCGTGTCCACTCCCTTTCGTGGCTCAACCTCCTGGCTGGCATATCGCCCGGTGTCTGGCTCTGATACCATTTGTAATAGCCCAAACCCACTGTTTGTCGATATTGTTCTCTTTGGACTTTTCCTTTTGGGCTTCCCATCAAAGTTTTTAAAACACGTCTGATAGGGAGAGATTTTTACACCCTTATAAATAATGTTTCGTTCTCCGACTGACGTGGGATCTCACATTCCCCCATCTTATGCAGGAAGAATTTCCAAGGAAAGCTAGTAGCTTTTGATGAGGAAGATGATACAGCAGTTTCGAGGGTTCAACCTGCAATCCAACCCAGTTCAGTGGTATCATACTGATAAAACTAGTACATTCTGTTGCGACGGTGTGAACCAACCCAGTTGAATGGTACCTTCAATCTGCCATAAGTGAATGTTCTGTAATGCATATATTTTGAAAGCTCTATCATATCACAGCTCAGTTGAGTTTTTTCTACAATGCAATGGAACAAGTGGCTGAATGTTCCACAGTGTTTGTTACCTTTTTTTTTGTGGTGCTGATTTACAGCAGCTGTAAAGAATCGTTATGCGGCCTCTGCAACTTGTTTACGGGTTTGTGCTTGTAAACCATATTTGATAAGGCATTGCGTGGTTGGTTATAAAAAAATGAATGTCACCAAAATATTTCCCGTCCTCAGGCATGGTAAGAACTTGAGGCAAAAGCTTCCGTGTGAGATCTCACATCGGTTGAAGAAGAGAATGAAGCATTTCTTGAAAGGGTGTGAAAACCTTTTCGTAGCAGACCTGTTTTAAAACCGTGAGGTTGACGACGACATGTAACAGGTCAAAATAAACAATATCGACGATTACAAATAGTATTAGAGCCAAACATCGGATGGTGTGCCAGCGTCTACGCTGGACCCCCAAGGGAGTGAATTGTGAAATCTCACATCAGTTAGAGAGGGGAACGAAACATTGTTTATAAAGGTGTAAATACCTCTTCCTAATAGAGGCGTTTTAAATACCTCTTCCTAAATACCTGTCCTAATAGACGCCACCCTAGTGAGTAAAATACAACAGGGCAGGAACGAAGCTGACTATCAATAGAAAAAACACTCATCAACAATGGTTTTTGTTCTCTGGATTTACATCTCCGAGCTCTCTCGACACAAAAGTAAAGTCATCGACTAATTGGCTCACACGACAAACACATTCTGTTAGAACTTAAGCATCTAACGTCAAGAAATGTACACCACACATCACCAGCATCAGATCAGTCCGCCAAATATTTCAATATTACTCCCACAGAAAAGAATGCAAAAGCAAAGTTCGCATTTTTCTTAACTCTAGGTGCTAGGTGCTGTGTACTGTATGCTTATCTGACCTGCATTTTTGTTCTGTATGATGATAAATTTACGGCTGATTGGAAGAGCACACATCTTGTTCATGATGGCTGCTGACTGGTTGGCTAACAACAGTAATATCTAAACTGCTACCTTCGGTTTCTGCAGCAATTTCTCTAACGTCGGCGATTCTTGCTTCTGTTGTCTGAATATCACTCCATTCCGCATCTCCAATTGATCGTAGGTTGACCTCACCAGAGACCGGTGTTGCTCTAGAGTCACTCAAGCATGCTTTATCCACATTATCGTCTGACGAGTCAACGTGCTTCGTTAGCAGGGAACTATCATTACCTGTGCAAGATTCCTTCTCCTCAAAAACTTGTATATGTTGTCTGCAAAGCAGAAAAAGTAGCACATTGAAGTTTACTAGCCACACAGTCGCATCCAAGTAGGAAACTTTAGAAGGGGAAAAGATGATAAACCTCTGAATTTGTGCTTGTAACCTATTTATATATGCCATAAGCTCCTGCTTCTCCTGCAAAGCAGCTAACTCTTTCTGCTTAGCCTCCTTTGTTCTTGCTTCAGCATCTGCCTCGGTAACCCTGACTTTTTCCTCCGCTCGCACAATAGCGCCTTCTAGAATCACAGCCTGCTCTCTAGCTTTTGCAAGCTCAGATCGCCACATATGTGCTTCCTGATTAGCAGCATCCCTTTGTTTTATCAATTGATCTCTTTCTCTACTCATACCAACTAATTTTGCTTCATACTCTTTGAGCTGGAAGTGGATGTGAAAATCAGAAACATAACCACCATAGAACATGTATCAAAGAAGCCATAACAACAGATAGGCACAGGTCCTTTCATGAGTTCTAATTAAGTGTTGCATAATAAGGAAGGCAAATACCTTCAACATGGATGCATCCAGTTGCTTCTCAGAATTTTCTTTTATACGTTCAATTTCTGCACAAACGATTTTCCTTTGTTTATCCATCATATGGGCGGCAGAAGCAGCAGCCTCAGCAGCTTCAGCTGTCTCAGATAATTTTTCAGCTATATCATTTATTGTTGAATCACGTGCACGAAGATCACGAGCCAAATTATGTAGTTCCTCATCCTTGACTCGTATCGTCTCCTGGATAAACATAGAAACAAACACTTAGAACCATATACAACTGAATGAAATACCAAAAGGACCTACAGCATACTACATCCATAGTTCTTCACGTCTCAAGCAAATCCAGCCTCATACAAGTAGTAGAAGTCTTGCATAAACAACATGATCCAAAATAAGGGTGCAAATGTTCAAGGCCTACAGTTTTTAATTCTGGACATGAAAACACTCCCATACTACAAAGAATCTTAAGCCATCATGTCAGAAGAGCATAATGCATCAATCATACTCCAACTTTTCGTGTTTCTAATTTGCACATAAGATGGAATAAGAAAGCAAATACTTTAAGAACAAATGAACCCTTCCACACCTGTGCTAAACAAACGTGCAGAAGTGGCTCGGGTTGGAAGAAAATATTAGGCATGAGTTTCAAATATACAGATGTTTTACCTTCATAATCGCTAAATCATCCATTGGAACATCAGTTGTTTTATTTGCGATAATTCCCAGAGTATTTCTTAAAGAAATCTGCATTGCTCTTTCAATTTCTTTAGAACTTTCCTGTGCAGCTGAATTGGCAGCAGCAACTACTGTGGCCACTGTTCCTAATTTTGCAGAGCCATTGCCGCTCAAGGAATTTACAGCCTCTTTATGTGCCTTAAGGACCAACTGGGTTGCACTGGTTGGAGAATGTCAACACAATAATATTAAGACATATTGTATCAGCCTACTATGTACCAAAGGAAAATAGAGGAAAATTATTAATTTGTTTCCTTAAATCAGGTGAATTGTTATATGTCGTAGAAAACAAGCCCACCCTGAGGAGTCATCAAACAAGGTTAAGAAAATGATAGAAACCAAATATAATGAGATGTAAAAGATAACAAAATCACAATTTTTTTATACAAGAAACCAAGATTTTAACAAGAAAAGTGAACGAAATACAAGAGCAAAAACAATCCACAAAAAAACAAAAGAGCAAATGGAAGCCCCAAAACTAAATACAAAAAAGGTCTCCAATCCAACAAAATCAAACCAAAAATCATAGTTACAAAAGAGCAACACCCACAAGGAGACATTAAACTTTGCCCCCCTCCTAGACCTCTTTCATTTGATTTCTCCACCTCTCCAAAAATTCTATTATGTCCTGTTAACAGAATTACATTATAGCACCCAAGTATTCTTGGTACTTGGATCCTCCCCTCTCTTGACATGTCACTCAAGCCTAAAGCCATTAAACAATTGCCTATCTTCATCCTTTCTCACAATCTTCCCTAGCTAATTATCAAGATACCTCTAATACCCTAATCATATTCATAACTCTATCTTATCATTCCTATCAAAGAAGTCTTCAAGTTGAAATGGTATTCTCATAAAAACTGAAAGAAGACTGTTCAAGAGCTATTATTCAGAAAATTTCCCAAAGCCTAAAGTTCTTTCGAGGAATGCTATTAAAGCTCGTCAAGGATAACACAGCTTATGAAAAGAAAATTATTTTAGTTTAGAAAAGAAAATTGATTTTTACGAAATTCAAGATTGCAACCATTTCTAGATAATACATCAATCAGTTTCCAATTCCATAAATATGCATTAATAAATAATGATTGGTACAGTAGTTTTGAGTTTCTTTATAGAGGACAATATAACTTATCCTCTTGTTCTGCAATTTTTTTTATCCATAAAATCTCAGAGCATATACTCCAATGAAGGTTCAGAAACTGTCATTTTATGTACAAACAAACAGATAGGATATTACTGGTTATGAAAAGGTATGGAGATAACTGTGCTTTATGTGAGTTCATAAGGATGTTGCACAAACAATATCACTGATATGAGGCATGTTTGAATGACTTACTGCAAAGTAGACACCCAAGCTCTAGCTGCACCAGGAGTCTCTGCACAGAGGAAGTAATCCTGTTTCTGGGGCGTGCCAATATCTGACGGTATAGTTAAGACGTTTACAGCATAGTAAATCAGTTCAGATGAAACATTTTTGTTCGAATTGTCAAGCATAACATTCAAGGTAAATATTTTTCTCAAATTGATATGAAATAAAGTAGGAAAATAACGAGGATACAGATACAGCAACCATCGTACCTCGGTAGCCCACTAGAACAAAAGAAAAAATGAAGAGAAAGAAAATACAAATTAGTAAATTTCAAAGCCATAATGGGTCAAGAGAGACTAGGAGAAAATTGTAAATAAGCTTTAAGAATCAAACTTACTGAAAATTCACGGGAGAAACAGTAATATTGCTATTTGCATCAAATATCATAGTTCCTTTGATAGTTGCCTCATTTCTCCTAATTCTATGGCAGAAGTTGCAAAAGGAAGGGGAAAAAATATGAGCTATTTCCAATGTCATATAGTACAGTGAACCAAGCAGGAGAAAAAAAAATGGCTAAATGTTGGAAGTATGGTTACTTGTATTCCATTTTCCCTGATGTTGGATCCAAAATAACCCATCGCTCATTCCATTTCCTCAACTGCAAAAATTGGAATAGAGAATATCAGATTTTCTAGAATGAATGGCTCATAGCCACCATAATGCAATCTAAGAATAAAACGATGCAGAAAATAGAAGATTGATCTATAAACGTGACCACAATTCTGCATTTGCGCACCATCAAACAGTCTGAGAATATGATCATGGGCGTTTCTCAAATTTTTCGTCCCGGAAATCACAAAGACTAACATCCTATAATCTTAATGAGTTACATGAACTTTAGTGTGATTTAATCAAGTACACGAACATCACAAAACACAGTCTAATTTCCTACGTAAAAACGTGCTTCATGGCAAAATTTGAAAATCAATCCCAAGCGAAATGCAGCTATCGCCCACGTCACAAAATGAGGGAAGGGAGAAGACAAGAAAAGAGAAAGAAAGAAAATTTCTCCCAAATCAACAGAAAACCCAAAACTATCCTACTTCGCCAGACGAAGCCCACGAGCAATCCTTCCCCCACCCCCCCAATTTAGTCATCTAAAATTCGGCGATAAAGATGCAAATGGAAGCGCCTAAGCCAGCGAAATTCAGTAG